ACAACAAATTCAGTACTGCAATACTTGTTATCTACGATCATTTGGACAACAAATTCAGTACTGCAATACTTGTTATCTACGATCATTTGGACAACAAATTCAGTACTGTAATACTTGTTATCTACGATCATTTGGACAACAAATTCAGTACTGCAATACTCGTTATCTACGATCATTTGGACAACAAATTCAGTACTGCAATACTCGTTATCTACAGTGTAACAATACAGATGAAGATACATTTCATGTTTTTCTGCTTTATATCAATCTGATGAGTTGTTGATGAGATCTTTTTCAACTGATTTTTACAGTTTCTTCTTATGTTGTGCTGTTACACCACTGTCCCAAGTTTGGGGAGCGCTATCAAACATGTTTAATCCCGCCACATTCTTTATGTGCCTGTCCATCCCAAGTCAGGGGCCTGTAGTTCAATGGTTGTCGTTGGTTCATGTCTGTCATATTTGTTTTTTTCGTTAATTGTTTTGTTATAAATTAGGCCGTTAGTTTTCTCAATTGAATTATTTTATATTTTTCATGTCGGAAGAGCAAAAATATAAAAAAACAAAACAAAAAAAAAAACCCGAAAGATCATGAATAAAGATACAACTTATTCCGAATTGAAATATACACGCATTCATTTTCTGTTCAAATATATAAAACAACCTGTATACGGGACAATAACACGAAGACAGTACAAAGTATCCCGATGTTACACAAAAGCCGACATAATTTGCAAATGTAAAAGGGATATTATTGTTACCTACAATTTTCGTATGAAATCGGGCCCCTGTCCGGAAATACATTTCGGCAATTAGTCTCGAAAGTGACAATGATTATTATGACACCCTCAACGGAGTTGGGGTGACATATTGTTATTGTTCCGTTCTTTTTTTCTTATTTTTATTCTTCCACACTTTTTGTCCAAGCTTTTTCTCAGAATTGCATGTACCAATTTTGATGGAACTATGCTATAATATTGACCACCAAAAAATTTTTTAAATACAGAATAAACTTTAAAACTATTATATTAAATATACTTCCTACAAGTTGTAGTGAGAGTCAGCTAAATATGAAACGTTGCATTAATAGCAACTCTTTTTAAAAAGTCCTGAAAGTGACAAGTTCTAATATACATAAATGTCTGGTAGATAGAAATGAGATTTTAGCTTCTTTATTATAACATATTATTTCATTATGCTGTATTCATTGTTATAATGTACTGAAATATGGGCCTTTCAAAATATTGTAATTGTGTTTGTGCCAATAAAATATTTGTATTATAAGACCTAACTGGATGAAACTTTATGGTAATGTTACCTGGTATGCCTAGATGTGCAGACAATATTTAGAAATTCCAAAATGGAAGCCATTGTCATGGAAACAGGGCGAAAGTTTAACATTGACCCTATGGGAAAAAACATTAAAGCTGCATTTTCTTAACAAGTTCTGTGCCATAAGGCCAATATTTTGGCCTTTGTAACCTCTCAAAAATGCCATGGGGCCAATATTTTGGCCCATTATAAGAAAACCTGAAGATTTCTTTGAAGTACAGATTCATCGTTTGTGTTGTATTAAATATACCCAAATTAGTTGTGGTGACAAAAACAATATTTAGTTTAAAAAAAAAATAACATTTTCATTTCGATTGACGTCAGTAGTAGTGTGACGTATACGTCTGTTACATCACTTTTAAATTCACGACAGGTTCCCGTTCTAGAACAAACGCTACGTGTAATGTCATGCTTTATTAACGTCAAATGTTGGGATTTGTGTACCCAAAAAAAAGTCAATTCCATTGTCAAACTTTAGAAAAATAATTTATAAGCAATGAAATAATAAAGCTCATTGTATTTTATTAACGTTGTTAATTGTCGAAGTGGTGAGCGAAAAAAACATTTGGTTTTGGTACAGATTGTTATCCTGTTTCTATTCTACATGACAATATAGGTTGTATGATATTGAGCACAGAAAATAGGTATTCCGTTAATTTCGGTGAATGATAAAGCTGATTATAAATGTAGTTGTGAAAAAGATATGATTATATTGTTTGCAAAGGAGTATCTGCCAAAAAATTGTTCATCATTATGTTTACGGCAAAAGTTTTTGAAACAAAAAGCTAATCTAAAAGAAATTGAGCTCCTAAAGACAGGCAACATATTTGTTACTTGCTTTGTTTTTAATTGATGATGATGATGGATGGCTGCTTAATGTCCAGTGATATGGATATTTACCCTGCTTTGTACTAGACCGACACCGCTTAGCCGGATTTCAACGTGCTAGTTCACAAGGTAACAGTCCGCAGGAAGACATGTCACCTTGCCCGGACACATTATTCTGACTCCGAGCCGACCAGTCTTTGCTCTTACTCCTTAATGCCGCGTGCTTAGGGGAGCAGCAGAAAATACCAATTTTAAAGTCTTTGGTTTAACCCGGTCGGGGTTCGAAACCAGGAACTCCCGCATTCGAGGTGAATACGCTACCAATAGACCACCGAAGCGGTTTTTTAAATTGAGAATTTATATTTATTAAGTCTAAATGTATTTATTTTAATTCTTTCTTTTCTTTATTAAATTTTAAAATACCAATATAACGTGGAAAAGAAGGAGAATTAAGTGAAAACAGGACCGGTACCAGTTCTCTGAGCAAATTTGTAATGCATTTCTTGTTTCTGCCCCCCCCCCTTTTCCATCCACTGTTGAGAAAAAAAGTATTGCAGATATTTGCCCCCTCCCACAATTTTCAGTTCATTCCTACACCTCTGCTCATATATCCTTTTATTTATGCTTATAACAAAAATATGGAATATTATGAATGAAGGTTAAAACCGTTTTGAAGTAACGGGAGAAAATGCTCAACCTTTAGCAATTTAAAATTTAAAAATCAAATTGAAATGAAACAAAAAACACAACATTTTTATCGATATTAGTTTCTTAAGGTAATGAAATCCGAACAGTATCCGAGGTTTTTTTTCTTTACATGAAGAAGGTTTCAAAATACTGTTGAATGATCATATTTCTCAAACCAGTTCATGTTGTACCCTGCCCAAATCGACGAAGATTCTAGCCGACGCAATGCATATCAAATGCCAACTCTTATCCATTGACTAAACTAGTTATAATTGGTCATACATATTGCCATGTAATATGTCGTGGTTAGACAAGTAAGTAATGACCACCTCAAAGGAACATAAATAAAACCATACAAATATTACATGCATGCAGGTACGTTGGCCAGTATGTAGATTTGATATTAAATGTCTAGCTAAATAAAATCTATGAACAGTCGGCACTGATTTAAAGTAGTGTCTCCTCCATGACAGTCGAACATTAAAACTCAATATTAAATAAGACACTGCTATTTTCAGTGTTTGGTACAAGTTGGCTGTCACTGTGCACAACAGTTCAACATAGAACCCTATGGGGAAAAACCAGAGAACTCTTTTTTGTCAGAAAACACTGTCAAACACCCAAGCATACTATCCACACTGATCTGTGTCCACACTTGTTAGATAAATAAGATATTTCACTGACAATTCATTAAAGGCTCTTTCAAAATGACCAAGAGTTTAATGTAATTATGGTAATCTTGTATGATCCATGATTTTTTAGCAGTTTCTTTTGTATTGCTCCTTATGATAGTTTGATTGATTTGTGTTTAACGCCACTTTCAACAATATTGTTCTATTTCGTGGCGGTCAGTTTTTATTGGTGGAGGAAGCCGGAGAAAACCACCGACCTTCGGTAGGAAAACTGAAAATCCTTGTCAATTAAGATTGAATTCGAGCCTTGCTCCTTGTGAATTTTCTGATGAGTTTTCAAATAAATAATGATTACACGAAACCGTTGAACTAAAACAAAATAAATTGTGCCTCCACAAGGTTATGAATCAGGCTTTGAATGTCTGTCTTTTCTGTACTCTCATGTATTTCACAATTGATATATTGTTGGCCTTTTAAATTGATCGTTTAGTTTACAACAAGTATAAAATTTACAGAAACATTTGTATTTTTGAAAAGCGTTGTCGCGTTAGGAACAAATGAAGTTGTACTTTGTGATGTCGCTACAAAACAATGACTGTCGTAAAATGTCTGTCAATGAATACGGACAACAACATTTCGTAACAGTATCGTATTCTCGGTGATCTTTTCAGGTCATGAACTTTACTTGGAACATTTATACTACTTATATCTCCATTTCGGTAGTATTTCCTTTAAAAAGTTTTGCAGAAAAAAATATTTTTCAAAACGTCTGTTTGTATATCAAAGATATTTAGTATATGCAATCATAGATTTTTATTAACGGAATACATATACTACAAAACGATTCTCAAATAAGAATTTTAGTACTAAAATTTGATGTTCTTCATGTTTGAAAGTGCAATAAGGAGAAAAAGGAGAAACTGTATTCTGAGAGACTTGTAAAACTTTAAAAAAAAAGCTAAACAAAAAAACATTTATTTTTACGTTTAAATAGACAACTGTGTTATATTTTAGGACACAGTGTATTTTCAAAATCGGAGTTATAATGAATTCCGCTAAAAAGAAAACAACCAGTTAAAATACTATCCTTGATGTTTTCTAATATGTACATCAATAAACGGAATCAATGCCTGATAAACAAGGTAAGGAGTGCAATGAGGTATACTGTTGTATTCGCACTAAATCGGAATGGCACCATCCTGTTAACTATGAAATTGTATGGAGTTGTATAGGCGATAATTAAGCCATCTGAACGAATTGGTCTCATCTATATTAATCCGTTTAGATATTGTACCATAAATTTTGTAAGATAAAATCATTTTTATGTAGCATTAAGCTCAACTAATTTGCAAATAAAAAATTTGATGAATCGTCAACAAGACAAACTTTAAGGCACTAACCATCTTAATATTATTGTTACTGATTGCGGGTAATCATAGCCAGTGCCTATTCATTACAATAGTCTTAATTTATAGTTTCCGGGTTTTCACGATGTACCGATTTGACTCGAAAAGAGCCTCGCTGGACGTGGCCGGAAGTGGTATTTCAACTATGGCTGACACCGACAAACTTGCCAGTGAAGTCAAAACTATGACCCTGCAAAATGGCGAAAACACTTCCCCTGATAAATCGAGTGATGATTTTATAAGTCAATGGGGATTTCCACTGCCTGACCTATATAAGCTTGCCTTAAGATTTTACAAAGGTACAACGAATGGCAGCGGTAAACATGACTTCTCAACACTATTTTTACCACACAAAGTTCTAGCCGGTTGAAATGTTATAAACAATCAATGAATTTGGTATTGCTATTTCAGTTTAGTAGTGTAAAATTTGGTATTGCACTCTTCATGCTCTTTGGTCAATAGATTAATACAAAATTTTACACTCAAACTGAAATAGCAATTTATCAAATTTCATCACTGCCTTTCTTCACACCTGAAGCTTCAAGTAATGAAGGGTAGCATAGCAACAAATTCATTTAACTGCACATGATATATTGTACATGTGAAGGGAAGATTTAATATATTATTATGGTGAACAACTGCAATGCTAGTGTGGCTCACCTCGGGAAAGTGCACTTTTTTTAGAGAATTTCTAAAGCCATCACTCGGAATATGAAAATATTATAAATGGCCGGGTGACTAAATAATAAAGTAATTTTCAAAGTCTGTACATGATTCTCCAAATCAGAAGAGGGTAGATATGTTTTTTTGCACGGAAAGGCGGGATATTACTTAACGAGGAAGTCCATATTTGCCCTGGGCAGCAATATGATGAATATGACTTGGGCAAATCAGCATTTATAACATTGCAAAACCAAATGTTTTCATAACAAATATACGATAAGATGTGCTATGATAGTTTAGGGTTTGATAGTTTTTTATATTTAACATCTTCCTTTAAACAACTTCAATTATCCAAGATATATCACATTTACGAATGTTAAAGGCACTTGTCATAATTTAAATTGCCTAAAAAGTTATATCAAATTGTATTGACTTATTGTTGCTTGCTTAACATTCAGTGGCAAATATTTCATTCATGTTGAGGAATAATCATTCACAAATTTCAAATTCTGGAATGCCAAGGCTAGTGACCTCAATGTTGTGTAGCGTGACCTACATGTAACAGGGCTTCGGAATTCCCGTTTCCCAGGGAAAGTAAAAAATTGTCGGGTAAACAAAAACGCAGGTACCAGTTTTCCCTCGGGTAAGTAAATTGTCTTTACGAGGTACTTTCTGGTGCGTCATATTCTTGTTTGACAAAGTCGGTTATTGGACAAAATCTAGTTTAGAAACTGGTTCCCTGAAGCAGTCACTTGTTTCCTTGCGTTTACAGCGGTAGTTAGTTATTATATCAGTAAACAGTAATGGAGGTCATAAAGCCATGAGTTTGCATAACTATATTATCTCTGCCGATTCATCAAAGAAACGGAAATATTAGACTTATTAAATCAGTAATGTAATCAAACCAGATGAAATTGATAAAAAGGACAGAGACCGTCTGTATGACCATGAAAAACAGGTTCATCAGAACGGGAAAGTATAATTGTAAGATAACTTTCCCATGGATTAGTGCATTTTCAAAAAATTCCAAAGCCCTGCCTATAATGATCATTGCAAAACAATCAGTTCTGTTCTGTGACATCAAATATTTTCTATTGTGGTGCTGAAAAATTGTAGGAAAACTTTTTTTTAATGGTATTTAGAACAAACTAGAGATTGGTATATAAGACAACTATTCTGTTTAAAAAAATTAAAAGAGCTACATGTACATGAAATGTGTACAATGTAACTTTCATGTTATGAATTATGTTTATAATGCAATAAAAGGATGTATCATGTACATGTACATGTAACTAAAGGCTATTTTCATCATGTTCTAATGATGTTAACAAATTTATTGTGCCTAAAAATCAGAATGTTTTGATGTAGTGTAAAATAATACATCAGAAAAAGTTGCTTCTTTGATATAACATACAACCAATCTGTAAAGTCAATGCTTTCACCTTGTCTCATCAACTTAGTAAAAAAGGGAACTTGCCGATGACGAAAGTGACTGTTGTGAAAACCAGGGCAACTAGACATTCTTTTTGACAGTCTGGGAAAAGCAAAGTGACCAAAGGGAAAGCAACTTATTCGCCCCAGTCTACCGGTAGCGAGAGCCCTGTCTCCTGTATCATCCTGTTTTTTACCCACCACTTAATACATGTAATCAGTGCATTTGGTCAAACAATTCATACAGCCAAAAAAAAACCATTAGAATTACAGTCGATTTGCTATTGCATGCAGAGTAAGAGTTTGGTTGGCTTGCTTGCCTTGCTTGCTTTGTTTGTATTAATGTTTGCTCAAGCATTGTAATTAAGATTGACATCTGCAACAATATACATTTTTGTAAGTAGGTGGAGTTAAACCTGTATATAGGTAAATTTGATTATTTGTTAGTGTCCAATCAAATTTAAGTATAAAGTATACAAATTTAACTCTGCCTTTATTATTTATATATTGTTTTCAGACGTCAATCTTAATTACAATGCTTGAGCAAACATTAATACAAAAAAAAGCAAGCAAGCCAACCAAACCTTTAACTTGCTAGCATTATGATAACAGCTGTAATGCTTACTCGTACAGAAAACAGCTTTTATTTGACTGCATCGCCATCTGTTTTATAACAACCTGTTACATTGGGAAGTTAATTATGTTAAAATTTGGCACTGAGAACTTTTTTTATCATGTGATGACCACAGTGATTTTGAGGTGATGAAAAGATCACCCAGAACTACACACATGTACATGTAATATACAGTTGCAATATTTGTTCAGTACAGTTGTAAATGTTTACTTCCAATGTTCCACTCTACTGTAAAGTCAATTAAACTGCACATTAATACACATTCATATTATTAATGGTAATATACATGTAGCCTATTGGTATGCATATTGTACAAAATAATGATAATCATTTGAAAATTAGATACATATATATGGTAAAGGAGGTGGGATTGGTTTATTTTCTCATTTAGGTGTATTCCACATTTTCTGTTATTTTAAAAGAGTGTGTTATTTATTTCCAGAAAAAGATGGAAAGGCTATACATTTAACTTACAAAGAAAAGCTGAGATTAGTAGCATATACAAAGCAAGCAGCCCATGGGAAATATCGTAATGATGTATCTCCAGATGTTGGATTCCTAGATGTTGTAGGCAATGATAGGAGGTAAGAACTATAATCTCGGTGAAATCTTGAATTTCAGACTTTTACATGTGAAATCTTGAACTTCACAATTTTGCTTGTGACATCTTGAATTTTGCTCTGTTGCTAATTTTGGCAATCTTTCACGCTTACAAGTATAAATGTACTTGTATTGAGTGCAGAAAGATTTGGGTGATTCCTGTAGGGTGAAATCAGACTGCAAATTTTGCCCCAAGCTTAGGAAATTTTAGGAATAAAAGCTAGGAATGGTCAAAACAAAATCAGAATGCGTCGGACTTTCCAGTAGAAATGATCTATTTCCTTCAGACACTCAATTATTTTTTTAGCAATATTAAAATTTGGCCTAGCCTGTTGGTCTAGGACAAAACTGAGTTCATATCATACATACATGTATGACAGTAACATTTGCTTGTCCTTTAATAGTTTGAAAAATAACCCAGTTGGTAACAGGACATTGTGTATCCCCATTTGTTGTAAACATTGTATTACATCTAATAAAGTTGCCCTATTGTGAACATATACAGCATCTTGTTAACAATTTCAATCAATAGTCATCTACTTAAATTTACTTTTTTAACCTGCATCATTCTGCATTCTGCAATATGTCATGTAATCAGTTTACAGTCATATGTGACACAATATGAAGATTTGTGAAAATAATTGGATGGAAGGCTGTTAACATATAATATTATACATCTGTTGGTCCTGAACAAATTACATATTAAAGTTATTTTATTTACACGATCTTTTGATAACAATGTATACATTTACACTTGTATTTAATATAAAATTTTTGATAATTCAACTATTGAGGGCTAGCAGTTGTCCAGTGTGAACCTGATAGTTTAACTTTTAATGAATTTAATTTATAGATTCTATTTTGTGCAAAAGCATATGCAAATATTAATGTATAGATTATTTACTTGGAATGTAATTAAAGAATAACTAATCCACAACTTCAAATACAGAAAAATAGTCAACAAATGATTGAACGACACATTAATTTACAAATGTATGTAGTGCACGAGTTAATTATTAGTGTTCTTTGGTCATGAGTTGAATATTTCTTTATATTTTGATTCTTGCATTAGTTAATTCTCTTTATTACATTGACCATGGACATTTAGTGGAAATTAAGAAGAAAATGATGGAACTATATTTTTCTACGCATTCTCAACTGTTTTGATGGAAACTCATCGACAACGTCTTGACAACTCCCTTTGTTGTTTGACGTCAGAGGGGGACATTATCAGATTTATTTCACATGTGAAATTATCTGGTTTTTTTTTCACTGGGAAATCATGATAATTCATTGCAATCAATGTTATAAATGCTGTTATCTGCTGTATTTGAATTTAGAACTTCTTCTTGTTCAAATGGATTAAGAGCACTGGGAGTGGAGTAGACTCAGAGAGGGCATGTCTATCAAACTTATCGCTCTTTGTATGCAAGTGTCAGTCACAGTCTGTTTTGTCACTAGAAAGGTTTTTTTTTCCTTTTTTGAATTCTTATGAATATTCTGAAAAAAGAAATAGTATGTGTATGTTTCATTTTTGTAGGTAAAAAACTTGTTGTCTCATTGGTAATCATACCACATCTTCTTAGGCCCAAAATGAAATTTTCATTGCTTGATGTTGCCTTCCTTCCCTCCTAAAAAGCAACCAACCCCAAAACTTTTATGGCACAAATCGTTTCAAATTTTTTTATAAAAGTTTGTTTGGTGCTCTAATGTCTTTTTCTTGTCTAAAACATGTAACATATGTTGTTGGCCAAAAAAAGTCCCTACCTACCTACCCAACCCTATAAGGCATAGGTAGGCAACATCAAACAAAAAATTTGTTAAGGGTGGCCTTATTTTTATAACCCACCACTATAAGTTATATGGTTTGCTACTGACCCCCTATGGATCCATAGAGGGTTAGTAAAATCCATAGGGGGTGAGGCCGAAGGCCAAATCTCCTATGGATTTTATTCACCCTCTATGGTCCGTAGGGGGTCAGTAGTGAACCGTATAACAAATTTATCGCACACGGGACTTTTTCTGCTGCGTTTCGTAGAAAAATAAACTGAAACACAACAACATCAACAGATGACGTCACCATTAACAGTAGACATGACTTCATGAACCCCCTATGAAATATAAAAATCCCCTACCGATCCATAGGGGGTCCCCACGTGACGGCGTTAAACCAATCACAATGTGATAATTTACCCGCAGTGCGATAAATGCTTATGTGTTGTCTTTTATATCAGAATGCTTGCCATTGGTTATTATTGTTGACTCCTTTTTTTTTTTGGTTAATGATTTTTGTAATGATAACAGGTATTAATAGTTTGAAGCCATAATTAAAAAATAGTCTCCCTCCTCCAGAATCATGGTTTAAGAGTAGACCAGACTGGCAGATATTTTAAGATTGCAGAAAAGACTCTTTAAAATACACATATTTTAATCAAGGCTGCTGTTTCATGTTGCTAATATTTCAGTCAAGACTGTGTAGTTTTGAAGTGTTTGATTGCAAGATATACTCTAAAATTTTAACACTTGGTTTCAGACATGATATAAATATTTTTTTTTTATTCTTGAATTTTGATGGATTTTGATCTATCTTTGAAGATCAGATGATTCTGATAATTGCTGAACCAACTTTGGGTACACCACAATTTTTTGTGGAAATCTCAGATTTGCACACTCTCTTCCAATAACAAAAATAATAGACAAGCAAATAATTGACCCTGGTTCAGTCTTCACGATAAAGTTTTAAATCTACAGGCCTGAAACTGAATTTTATAAAAATTTTAGTTGGATTCTATTGGCCTGTAAAGATGATTTTTACAGGCCTGACAGCATTTTTACAAGCCTTGGCTGGTGGGCCTGTGGTTAAGCATGAAGACTGCTGGTAGGGAAAACAAACTTATCTTTTATTTTGGCCTTATTGACTTTATAAAATGAAGGATATGTTGCAATTGTCTATATAAAACTAAGGATTTGTGGAATGATTGCAAATGTGACAACTATCCATAAAGACAAAAAGGCAATTAGAGTTTAGGGTATGCCCATCAACTTTGAAGGTCAGCAGGACAGCTCGACACAAGTTTTGTATTATACTGGCATTGTATATACAACATATTGTCATGTCAGACAACTGGACTGATACTGCAATAATTAGATAAAAATCAAAACAAATTACATTTAACTAAGACTTGAGATTCTAAGCAAGTCCCAAAAGACAGTCTGTAGTCAGTGCGATCTTGGTCAAGGTTTAACCAGACTTGTTCTAAGTCTTGAATGCTTTGGTGGTGTCTGGCTGCTGTTACCTAGTATTCTCCATCTTAACACAGCATGATTTATATTAAGTTGCCTTTTCGCTTTACAAGTTCAGTTTGTATAATTTAGCACCAGACTAAGTACAGATCCCAGTATGTGGTGAGTGTTGATGTTGTTTTTACCCTGGACAACTTTTAGCTTCTCAATACACTATTTTCATATTACCGACTTTTGACTCTGGATTATATAATTTTTCGACTGGTTACCTTGGACATCATGGTACTCGGTCAAGTAAGAGCAACCAAAATAAGTAAAATCAAACATATAATGGGTGTAATTTGAGGGGAAAGTTTACTGTTTTCCGATGATTTTGTAGTGAAACAAAAATGTTAAGCACGTAATTTTCCCCCAAAATTGTACCGATTGAAAGCTTGGTTTTACTTCTTTAGCTTGCTCTTACCTGACTTGGTACTATGATGTCCAAGGTAACCATTCGACAAATTATATAATCGGGAGTCAAAAGTCGGTAATATGAAAATAGTCTATTCCAAGTTTGCTGTTGTATAAGTTTCTAGCATGGTCATTGGACAATCAGACAAAGTTGCATAATAATGTTCTGTTGAAAAATAAGCCTTTTCAATGTAGTTGCAGATCTAAAATTGGAATGCATATAATGACCTTCGAATGGTTCAGTTGTGATGTCATGCATAAATTTGTTTGTTTTGCTACAACATTTATATGGGGAAGTGTATAATCATTGTTCCCGCATCAACACAATACTTGTAAATGTAACTTGTTTCTTTTCCATTCAAATAATTACGCTGTTATAATATTTCTGCAATAAATTTCTATTTCCAAATTTGCATTTTGTAAAAAAAAAACTGCTCTGCTTTCCATCAGAGAAGCTTTTTCTTGAAGCGTGCATGATTGAATGATAATAGTATTTAATATTGATAACCAAAAATTTCTTAATTTGTTATATTTGTAATTAATACGATTTTTTTTATGTTTTAATGTTTGACTTTTTTGTGAAACTAAAGATTTTATTTTGTTTCGCTTTGTCATGATTTCTCAGTATAATTTTGTTTTATTCAATCATTAATTCTAACACAATCTTTTATCCAGAATAAAAAAAATCTATTTTTCAGATGTTTTTGATTTTTCTGCATCCATTTATTGCTATTTCCTCATATGGTATATATTAGATCTATATCAAAAGAGTACCTCCCACTTAAGTTTCTTTGTTTTTATTTTTGTTGGCGACTGCTGTCTGTTTGTAATTTGGCATGCAGCTGTATTATAATTGGCATATCTCTTTTAATGGGGATTATTTAGCCCAGTCCACTTCCTCAGGCTGTATAGTATTTATCAGATACATGTCTCACTCATTTTGTAGGATGAGCATATTTGGTATAATCCTTGCAAGGTCTACATGTTTGTCAGATCAGGTTCACTTGACCTTGACCCCATTTCTCGGATCATTGATTCAGGATTAAGTCCATTTCTCGGATATTATAAGCAAAAGGTCAACTATATGGTCTATGGAATGATATTGTAAGGTGCATTATGCAGCATATTTTTTCTTCAGGCAGGGTTCATTTGACCTTGACCTCATTTTCATGGATTATTGGTCAAAGTTAAGTCTTCATGATTAGGTTCACATATTAGATACTATAAGCGATGGGTTAACTATATTTTATGAATGGAATGATTTCAGCTGTGCATTCTTATTTAAAATTCTGTAGGCAGTTGGTCATGTGATGTGATAATTCTGCAGACAGTTGGCCATGTGATGTTATAATTCTACAGGCAGTTAGTTATGTGATGTTGTAACTGTTTTATTGTGCTATTTACTGGGCAGAACAAAAAGATACCAATTACAAGTACACTGAGGAGTAATCTTATACTCTGTGCTAAAGAAAGCGAGTTGTGAGCTAATGTGCAAGGCCTCATTGTGACATTGAGATAAAGAACAGCAATAAAAGTGTTGTTCCTTGTCTTTTGTTTTTGTCAAGTGTGTGATGAGACTTTTGTTATGAATTGACACATGACATTTTTATGCCCCTGCTCTTACTTTAGTTTGCCTCAACCTATTGTTATGAAACTTAAGCACAATGCTTATTACCACAAAACTCAGATCAAGTTAGATTTGGGTGGCGTCACTTTTACTGTTCTTGAGTTATGTCCCTTTATAACATTATATGCAAGCAGGGGCATCATCTGTGTCCCATGAACACATTCTCCATTTATTTTTCTTTAAGTATTAGTGAAATTAGTTGTGCTTTGAACATCAATAAGACACCAATTTTGCAATCCACGATACAATCAACCTATAAATAGATTTTTTTTCAAAGTGCTTTTGTTTTGATTTACAGGCAAGCATGGCAGTCTTTAGGAGATATGTCCAAAGAAAGTGCTATGGTGGAGTTCATAAAACTGGTAGATAGTCAGTGTGGCCTACTACGACCCTACATAGAGGCACATAAAGCAGAAAATATGGAAAAAATTAAAAAGCAGTAAGTCAATTTTTTTACTGACTGGTGTCTAAGGGAGGGAAGAAAAAGAATTATAATTAATATCATTTTTACTTATTACATGTACAGTAAATCCCTTTGTAATTACAGTATTAAATTAAGGTTGAAATTAAAAAATCAAAATAAAATGTTAAATTAAAATTAATTCAATTTAATGTAATGCTATTTACGTTATTTTGTAATAGATATTGGGTTATTTCTAGTGTATTTGAAAACATTTAGAAATAGTTAACTTTTTTATGTGTATTTAAAATATTACATGTATATATCACAAATAAATTTAATCAGCTATATAACTTTAGAGGGTTAACTTGCCATATAGGAGGCCATGTGTCATTATCACTATATTTTTTCAGCTTACACGTGGGAACTAAACTTTCTTATCTTGCATCTGTTTAAAAGTCAGACTGAAGATACAAAAGAGGGGATCAAAACTCATAAGTAGAAGAGAGACCAACAAAATTAAGACAAAAAAGGAAAAACAAGGAAAAGACAAACTACTAAACACTACACATGCAACATAAAAAAAAATGAGCAACACATATAAGTTATTTTACATAAGTTTCATAAATCTTCTTCACTGTTATTGTCTACATTGCATTATTACAAATTTATGGAATGGTATTCTATCCACCTTTATCTTGTGTGTACATTTTATACATTTTAAGTATTTTGTCTCATCCTTATGGTTGTGATACTTTGGATTCACTAATTTTTGGTTGGTACCAACTTTTGTGGATTGAGGAAAAGTTGTACTTTTGTCGATACATTTACATTGTTGTTTGTTTTGACAGATTTTGCAGACAAACCTATAGGTTATTTGTATATCATCGGGGCTCTTAAATTCATATTTCACGTTTACCCAGGAAATCCATGAATTTCAAATTCCCAACAAATGATAATGAATCAATAATGTAAAAAATTTTGGCCTAAGATTTAGCAGTATCACTTTAATTGTGTTCTAATTAGGCCTTGTTAGCTGATTAGACACCTCTTACTTCATACACCTGACAGGTGTTTCACAGATCACAAGTTCATTTCTTTATTGATATAATTGTTATGTAATAAATTTTTGCCACTTTTTTTATCTGAAATTTTTTTCAAATTATTATTTTTCAATCAGTGAATAACAGGTCTTTAAAAAAAGACACTGTAGGAGAAAATATATTTTTTCTTTAGTCATACTGAAACTGTAATTAAAAAAGGAATAGAATAATTTTGGTCAAGTTTAAGTAGAATTGAAATATGCAGATTTCAAAATTGTACTTTTTATAGAAAAGAAGCAGAAGAACAAAGAAGAAGGGAGGAAGAGGAAAAAGAAAGAAAAAGATTGGAGGAAGAAGCTCAGAGGCAGTTAGAAATGGAAAGAAAAAGACAAATGGAACAAGAGTAAGATCATTATGACAGAAATCATTCATGTGTTAACAAATTTCTTTGCAATCAGTCAGTTTAACTTGATAAAAAGACGTAAAGAAATCAATGTTACTCAGTTGAAACAGAGATATTCCAATGACTTTACTGATGTCATAGCTTAATGTTTTTCATTATTTGGAGAATTGGGTGTTAATCATTTGTTAATGGCAGATTATTTATTTTTTAGATCTTTTTAGTTTATTCACAACTTTTATAGAACTAGTGGCTATTTAGAGCTTGACATATGGTAAAGACACCAGTTTATTGTTAAAGTCTGCATAATGCTCTCTAAATATCTTTTGATATTATTGTCATTTGGTTGCTGATTGACATATGACCCACATCTTTTTTAATTCCCCCTGCCTCAGCGTAGGGGGCATTAAGTGTTACCCTTGTATCTACGTCCCAAAATTAGTTTCCATTCTCTTACTTAAGTTTGCCTCAAGCAATTGTTATGAAACTTATACACAATGCTTATTACCATAATAATAATAGTGGTAGTTCCTCAAGTTTAAAGCATCTGTCTGTTCATTTAGTTCCTTTCAGGTTAAAGTATTTGTTAAAAGGTAGTTTATCATGAAGTTGAGATCACATCAACAAAAAATTATGTATGCATGTTGACTCAACTTGTTAGTTACATGAGGTTTTTAACTCAGATTTGACGTGATAGTGTGAGCAGAGGTAATGTTGTCTTATACAGCTATTGACTCATATTCTTGAATTCTCAATTCTTAAATTCAAATTCCTTAAAGCTGTTATCTGTCTTCCAAGAAAATTCCAAAAAATAAGTACACCTTAAAAGTTTTAAATGTATTCATCAGTTGCATTAACAAGAGTTGTCTTTCTTTGACTTTTATTTTTGTTGAATTCAAGAATTACACTGTTAACACTTAAGAACCGCCTCAGTGGTCTTGTGGTAGCGTGTTCGCCTCAAGTGCGGGAGATCATGTCAGTCTAGTACATAGCAGGGTTAATATTCATAATTCATTAACATGTTCTAGTCTTGAATATGCATATTAATTTGCCGCTGGATGTTAAGCAGCCATCCATCATCATCATCATCATCATCATCATCATCATCATTATTATCGTGAACACTTAAAAGTGCAATCCAGTAGTCTTATGAAGATATTACAAATTATAAGCCTGGTATCTTTGATTAGTGTTTGTTTTAACAACTATTGTTTAAGTATTTCATAGTTGATGATTGACGTATCTAACTTTATTCACATACTGCAATTCTGTTCTCTAATAAATCAATCTCAAACTTTGCTACTTTTTAGGTAAAAATAAAAATTAAAGTTATGGATAAAAAAATTAAATTTATTCCTGAACTTCACTTGTTTTGTGGTTCTATTGTTACAGAATGCAGATAAGAACAGCTTTAAATCAGCAGACGGCAGTACAGTTCAGTCAATATGCTTCTCAACAATCTCCAGGAAATAAACAACAGGTAAATAAAATTCCTTCCGTAAAATCAGTAAGTGGCAGTAAAACCCATAATTAACATTTAGCTTGAAATGGAATATATTTATCTTTTGATTCTGGCAAATTTTCATTTTTTTTGGACAAAAATACAGTCACTGTTGTTAAATTGTCCCCTACTGTGAAGCCTTAGGGGACTAGAAGTTTGTAACTCTCATTCTGTAAGTTTGTTAAGTTTTCCATACTTTTTTTCTGTAATGCTTCATTCTGTAGATTGAACATTTGGTTAATAGTTATTTCATAAGAAGTAACAAATTGAGGTTAGTTTCATAATGGTTGAGCTATTCTTGTAAAAATTGTGGCCCTGAGTCAAAGGAAATTTTTTTGTTCACCTTTTCTGTGATACCTGTATCAATTAATTAATTAGTATTTGGTATATAGTTCAAACATAGACATTTGCAGATTGAGTTTAAGTTTTGTTTTGTTGAAGTGATTTTTGCAAACCTAGAAAGAGGCAGTATCTACAGTTTTCACAAAAATATTGGTTGACAATTTTTTTCAAGAATTTATACTTGTATTAGTATACTTTGGAATTGTGTTAGACTGACAACTTTGACAAATTCAACAAAAAAAAAGAGATTGTATTGAAGTCTAAACGAAATATGCCAGGATCACTATAAATATTGGGAAGCTGGTTCTGGAAGACAAGTTTTAAAGGCTTTAATGAACATAAATTGGTATTGAAGTTTCAAAAGCTTTACCTGAATGTACACAACAAATTTATGAATAGGACATGTATTTATGAATAAAAATTCTAGAGGCACAATAAATTAAATGAAATTATTAAGTGTGTAGTGCTGTAGTAGAAGTCATATTCAAAGTCAATTTTCAGAAAAATCTCTATTGTTGGCCTTATAAGAAAAGCAAGAAAAAATTTCTATATAACTTTCTCGCATGATATTCAATAACTTGAAAAAATGGACTTTATATTTGGGTCAATTAAGGGTCCAAAATACCGTTAACCCTTTTGATTTGTTTACCCCTAATTAAATTTGTCACTCATGGAAACAGACATCGTAAACTTCATTGGTAAATAAATTGTGGGTGACTGTTAAATATGTAAATTCTTTTGACACCTGAATTAGGACATGTAATGACAGATATGTATTAAAAAAAATCAAGGGTTGTTCCTAGGAAAAAATGTATGGGAAAGTTGGACACCACATGATATTTAGTCCCCTACCGACAAAGTTGAAGGGGACTTTAGGTTTGCACTCTGTCCGTCTGTCCATCTGTCCGTCTGTCCATCCGTCAGTCCAGCAAATCAGCTTTCCACACTTTTTTTCGTCGTTCTTGAAGATATTGATTTGATATTTGGTATATAGTTTTATCATGACAAGTTAAAGATCAAGTTCAAATTTTGTTCCGGTCTGATGATTTAGTCCAGAGTTATGGACCATAACTCTGGACCATATCTAATGTTAGAGTACTATGTTAAACCATATTTCTGTGCAAAGGGAGATAACTCATTTTTTTAAAGACATTCTTTGTTAAATTATTTAAAGAAATTTTTGACAGGTTTGTTTGTTATTTAGTAAAAATGTATAAACTAATTTTCTGAATGCTATATATATAAAAAAAAATTATGAAGAGAAATCCTTTAATTAGAAAATAATCTATTTCTATTAATGTATATATTTCAATACATTACATTGTGTAGATGAAAGTTGTTGACATTTTATAGATAAGTTACAAATCTATATTAGTTTGTGACAAATGAAAGAAAAAAATATTTGGAACTATTAATTATATCTGATTATAATTTGAAAATAGATATACACTGTATTACATCATGTCTAATTCTAGAGAACTATTAATCATATCTAATGTTTTTTTCATCATGCTTATAAGATATTGATTGATAATTGGTATATAGTTTTATCATGACAAGTTACAGATCAAGTTCAAATTTTTGTTTCGGTCTAATAATTTTGTGTAGAGTTATGGTCCTTGGACTTGAAAAATTCACTCATATAATCAGTTTTCACCACTGTTTTTAGTCATGCTTGAAGATATTGACATGATATTTACTTTTTGTTGACACCATGACAAGTTATAGAACAAGTTAGCATTTTGTCAGTATAATGATTTTTACCCAGTAGGGGACTATGTATTACCATGCAATACTCTCAGAATGCTTGTTCTTTATGTGATTAATAGGGGTGGAAGCAAATACAATAATGTTATGAATGAAAATAAAAATTATGGGTGGGTAGTGGCCATGGGGTATAAAAAAAAGTGTTGTCATCCCCCCTTACCCCCTCCCCATAAAATACATTGTGTTCCTGGGATAGCCACTCAATAAACTTATAACAAACAGAAAAATATTCTAAATTTGTAATAAAACTCGTTATGCTTACAGGTAATATTTTTGTAATAATTTAACAACAGAGCTGATGTTTAATTTACTGAAGTTGATGTTTTATTAATTTACAACGGAAGTTATTTATTGATTCAAAAATCTCTCATTAGAGTTTTATGTAGTTTGACTTTTTATGACCCTACAATGGTTTAAAATCAATTTGATAATTTTTTCATGAAACTGAAATATATAAAGACTCATTTTACAACAATAATTGAGGAAATGGTTGCGAAAGCGAGACTTAGGATTGCTGTTTCCAGTGTCTGTGCTTTTTAAAGTGCATACAATGAAAATTGTATACTGGTACTGAAAATAAGGTATCAGCAGCTTAATACCCTATTCATTATGTTTAATGTTTCACTTTTATTTGTTTAATTTTTAGTCTTTTTCAGCTAATGCCAAATATAAGTACTAAGATTCTCTATTCTGTCATGCTTCAGTGACTTAAATGTGTTTAAATCTTTTTGTGATTGCAATGAAATATGGTAGACCATAGGTCTGGAAATTGTCATATTTTCCAGCCATGACCAATTCTTTTAATTCCTATGATCAAAATGTATTTCAACACAACAGAGTTGGACACAACAAGGTTCGATTGTACTTGGTAAATGTTAACCAGCTCCACATTCATTTTGTAATATGATAATTGACCAAATGAATAGACCACTTTCGAGTTTGTCCTTCAACGGAAAAAACTCGTCAATTATGTGCGCCTTTATGACGTCATTTACCAGATAGAGGGGATCGCCTGTATCCCTGCACTATTAACGTTCAAAAAGGGTCTTAGTGATCGTCATTGTGCAGGATAAAATAGAAATAATGTTTGTTCCGTAGGTACTTAATCACAATTCCCTAATGATGGCAGTGCTGATTGTCAATTATGAGAATTTAATTTGTCGAATAATTCGTGCAATATAGCATCATAGTTTTCCAACCACTCGCTCAACATGGGAACGGAAGTGACGATGTCCCTAAACGCACGAATGATGTTCACTAAAACCAAAGTTTTTGACGGAAATGCATCGAACTCTAAAGTTGTCTATTGCTTTAAAGCAGACAAAACATATCTTTGTTTCATATTTTGATTAAAAAGATGACGGACTAGTTACATCCACTTCATTTGAACTTTTGTGGATAGTTGTCTCATTGGCTATCATACCACGTCTCCTTATTTTTATACGACGGCAAAAAAATTTTTGTGGTCGTATATTGGTATGACGTTGGCGTCGTCGTCGTCGTTGTCGTCCGAAGACACATTAGTTTTCGCACTCTAACTTTAGTTTAAGTGAATGGATATCAATGAAATTTTACCATAAGGTTCAATACCACAAAAGGAAGGTGGGGATTGATTTTGGGGGTTATGGTACCAACAGTTAAGGAATTAGGGGCCAAAAATAAGCATTTTTGTAACTTCCAGACGTAACTTGTGTGTAAGTGTATGGATCTCTCTGACATTGTACCACAAGGTTCCATATCACAAAGGGAATGCTGGGATTGATTTTGGGGGTAATTGCCTCCAAATTTTAGGAATTAGGGGCCAAAAAGGGGCAAAAAACCAGCCTTTTTTTAGTTTCATGACAATAACTTGTGTGTAAGAGTATGGATCTTTATGAAATTGTACTACAAGGTTCCATATCACAAAGGGAAAGCTGGAAATGAGTTTGGGGGTAATTGACCAAAAAGCTTAGGAAGAAGGGGCCAAAAAGGGGCCAAAAATAAGCATTTTTCTAGTTTCCAGACAATAACTTGTGTGTAAGTGTATGGATCTCTCTGAAATTGTAATGCAAGGTACCATACCACAAAGGGAAGGCTGGAATTGATTTTGGGGGTAATTCCCTCAAAATTTTATGAATTAGGGGCCATAAAAGGGAAAAAAAACAAGCATTTTTCTAGTTTCAGGACAATAACTTGTGTGTAAGTGTATGGATCTTTATGAAATTGTACTGCAAGGTTCCATATCACAAAGGGAAAGCTGGGTTTGAGTTTGGGGGTAATTCCCTTAAAATTTTAGGAATTTGGGGCCAAAAAGGGCAAAAAAACAAGCATTTTTCTAGTTTCCAGACAATAACTTGTGTTCAAGTGTATGCATCTCTCTGAAATTGTACTGCAAGGTACCATACCACAAAGGGAAGGCTGAGATTGAGTTTGGGGTTGATGAATCATAAGGGGGTTCAAAAAATAGGGGGGGGGGATTTTTTTTCCTTTTTTTTCTTTAGAATTTTCCATTTTAAATTGGTTATTTCTGATTTATATAAAAAAGCAAATAATAATGATATGGTTTGAATAGATAAATTAAAAATTTTTAAGTTCTTAGACCTCTTTCATTCTGTGTCAGAAACCTATGCTGTGTCAAATATTTAATTACAATCCAAATTCAGTGCTGTATCAAGCTTGAATGTTGTGTCCATACTTGCCCCAACTGTTCAGGGTTCGACCTCTGCGGTCGTATCAAGCTGCGCCCCAGCGGAGCATTTTATTATATTTAGAATGACCATACATTGTCTCGAAATATAAATTTTATTTGTACTCACCTCAAAACCTTGCCAAGCATTTCTATCCTGTTTTGAGTCGAGTACAAATAAAATTTATATTTCGAGACAATGTAT